GGGGGGGCTGAAAAGTAGCTAAAAAAGCAGAAGGAAGCTTAGATTAATAGAAGGAAGTTGAGAGGAAACATTTTTGCTGAATTAGGATGAAAAAGGTTGAAACAGGTGCAAAAAATGTGGAATTAGCTGAAAAAGCTAAATTAGCTTAAACAGCTAATTAGTAGCTAAAATTGCAGAAAAAGCTGAAACTTGTAAAAATAATCTGAAAGGGGTATAACAAGCTGAAATTAGCTGAAAGAAATTAGAAGCACAAACATTTTTGTAGTTAGAAGAAATAATCTGAAAAGAGCCAAAAACAGCTGAAAGTAGTTGATTTTTTTTATTATTATTTGCACAAGGAAGCTGAAAGAAGCTGAACCAGAACAAAATGTGAAAGGAGCAGTAAAAGGTTGTAAACAGATCTAAAGATTTTTGAAGGATGTAAAATGAGCTCAGTTCATTTTCTAAGAGAAAAAAAATGGCAGAAAAGGCTAAACATTTCAAAAAGCTAAAGTTTCACGAATACCAAAAGTCAGAGCACCCTTCTGAAAAAGCTGAACGTTTTGATGTATGATTTGTTGAAATATCTTGAAAACTGCGGGACAAGATAATGCCAAAAAATGTACTGAATAGGGATAGTGACTATAAGATATAAACAGGATCACAATAGTGTGAATGCTTAATAAGCACAATATAATTAATGGGCTAAAATAATTAGTTCTTTTATGACATGTGAAACAATCCTACAAACCACTGTGTTGGTCTGGTGTCTTCAGGCTATGGTGGACAGGGAGCTGGACAAGGAGCTGGAAGCATAGGAGGAGGACTGGGACCAGGAGGAGGTGGTACCGGAGGTTTCGGGCCAAGTGGTGTTGGTCCTGGAGGCTACGGAACTGGGCCTGGTGGAGCAGGTCCAGGTGGTTTTGGACAAGCAGGCACTGGTCCAGGTAGCCAAGGTACGAACTGTTTTATGCACATTTTTCAGACATAATTACAAAATAATTTTAGACTTCCTTTCTTCTTTAGTAAAAAGTGGGCAGAGGTTCAACCAGTGTAAGATCCTGGACTGTTACAGTAAAACATAAGAGCTGGGGGACAATCCAAACCAGTGACACTGAGCACACACACACGAGCGCTGACACACATTGGAGTTCTGAAGGTATAATTGGATGATCAAACTGGTTCTTAGGCCTCTTTGCCATCATATCACTTTCAGAAGAATTTGCACCAGTTCTCAAGGTTTTATCAACTCCTCATGTACTGTAAATATTGTTCTTTTGTCAACTCACAGCAGCAGGATAAATAGTGCATGCATGAGCCCTTACTTAATTTCCTATTCTCTCAACAATCTAGGTTTGGGGGCCACCTTCCTTTATTCAAGCACACACACACAAATACACACACATAGGGATCAAGATGAATGAAGGCATAGGAGACTCAATAAAAGTCACTGCATTAGTCAAAAAGACTGATTTGCTTTGGAATTTAAGGCCTTTCTGTTCTTCCTCCTCTAAATGAGCAAGTTGCCTGTGCAGGATAACAAATGTCGGTGATTGTCTTCAAACAATTCATAAAAGTTACGTATTTACGGTGGTAAGAACTTGGCTCAGTTTAAGCACATGAAACACAACACTGTAATACTTTCCAGTTTGATAAAAACATCTGGCCACCTCAGCATAGTTTTATTCCAACCACAAAACGTGTTAGTTTGAAAACACCTTTTTTTTTTTTTTTAAACAAATAATGGGAGATGTGTTTTTATAGACGCTGAACTTAAATTTCTAAAATAGACTAAACAACTTTGCACTAAAACGTGTGCAAATGATCACAAAACGCCGGAGCTAAAGTTACAATAAAAACGAAACAACCGAGACACAGTTGTGTGAATGTTTATGAAGCATGCACACTATTGTGATCCGGTTTTCTTCTGTACATTTTTCAGCATCTTTGTCGTTCAATAATTTTTGTGCTATGTCAATAAATTGTTCAGCTCCTTCAGGAGAGGGGTACTATGGCTTTTGGTACTGGTGCAACTTTAGCTTTTTTCAGCCTTTTCTGACTTATTTTTCCTCAAAGAAAATGAATTGAGCTCACTTTACCTCCTTCCTTTAGACCTGTTTACAACCGTTTACTTCTCCTTTCACATTTTGTTCTGCTTCAAGATTCAACTTGTCTGCTGGATTCCTTAGATAGAGAACTTTACTAATTGGCTTTTATGTATGTGAATGTCCCTGTAAAGTGCCCTGCGACAACTCTGTTGTGATTTGGCGCTATATAAATAAACTGAATTGAATAAACTGAATTGAATTGCTTCAGCTTCTTTGTGCAAATTAAATAAAATCAGCTATTGTCAGCTAATTTCAGCTATTTTGTTCTCCTTTCAAATTATTTCTGCTAACTACAACATTTTTGTGCTTCTTCTAATTTCTTTCTGCTAATTTCAGCTTATGCTCCTTTCAGCTTTTTTTTGTTTGTTGCCTGTTTCAGCTTTTACTGCTATTTTAGCTATTTAGGTATCTTATTCTAATTTTAGCTTTTTCGACTAACGCCACATTTTTTGCTCTCATTTCAACTATTTTCAGCCTAATCCAACAAAAATGTGCTCTGTCCACTTTCTTCTGGCAATTTAAGTGTCTTTCTGCCTTTTTAGCTACTGTTCAGCTGCTTTTTGCTAATTTAAGCCTTTTCCGATAATTTCCACTTTTTTGTGCTCATTTAGGCTTCTTTCAGCCTAAATGGGCAAAAGTGTTCTTTATTCTGCTAATTTAAGCTTGTTCTATCTGCTCAGCTACTTTCAGCATGTTTTTTAGTTAAACTTTAGTTGTTAGATTTTTTTGTGGTAATTCCTGCTACTTTCAGCCTATTAACTTTTTTGTTCTCATTTCAGCTTGTTATGGTCCTTTCAACTTATTTTTGATAGTTTCGGTTATTTCAGCTACTATTTTGATGTTTTATGCTAATTTTAGCTTTTTCAGCTAATTCTTCGTTGTTTTTAGCTTATTTCAGCTCTTTCAGCTTCCTTCTGGTAGTTTGTTTCTGACTTTTCAGCTAATTTTCATCTATTGTTTTTCAGCTTGTTTAACCAATTTCCTAATTTTTGTGCTAATTTCTGATAATTTAAACCAGAAAATTTGTGTTCTTTCTGCTTTCTTCTGCTAATTTAGGCTTGTTCATCCATTTCAGCTACAATTCAGCATGTTATTGTAGCTAATTTCAACTGTTTTTCAGCAAGTTCTTCTGCAATAAGCATTCACACTGAATTTTCACAGGAAATTCAATTTCTCTTCTAGTTGTTTTTGTTATCTACACACTCAAATGAACATGTTGTATTGTTTGAAGCAAGCAAATGATCACAAAGTACTTCTTCTCTTCACTAGGGATTGGAGGATTTGGAGCAGGAGGTCTTGGTCCTGGTGTACCTCAGGGAGCTGGAACAGGTTACACCCCTGGAGGTCAGTGGATTTATTAACTATGCCTTTCGTTTACCTTTTACATGTAGTGCCCACTAAAAGTATTGTTTTTCATTGCTGCTATTATAAATCAATCAATGTTAATATAAATTGGTTAATATTACAAAAACCTTCTTCAGTGTAAAAGTGGAATCATATTTCTGCAGCTTAATTTCAATTAAATGAAAATATATAATGTAAAATAAGTGACTGCATAAATATTCACCACCTTTAATATTACTGAACCAATTCAACTCAAAGAAAATATTGAAATGCAAGTCAGGGGAAGGAGACAAAAGTATTTCCAAGGACCTGAGCATTAAATTTGTATTGCTTTGTAGAAATTTGGTTTCACTTTATCATTAAAAATATTTTTTTAATTTAATTTTTGTCAGAAAGGCCAGTTTATATTGACCATGATTCATAACGGCAGTAAAAGTGTAAAACATTCAAAGGGAGAATATTTTTTAAAAGCACTGTACTTCCTGCGTAGCTGCTGAGTTTACTTGTCACCTTAACACATTATGTGCACAAATGTGTACGTCACAAAAAACATTTGTTAAATGTAAATGTTGCACTTGTGTTAAATATTGTAATCGGTAAATGCTAATAAGACCTAGGTTCTGAGGAGTAAATAAAAAATATAGTTAGTAGTAAACTGACAGATTTATTGCCATAACACAGAACATATATACATTTGTATCACTGTTGCAGTGACAAAAAAAAAACAATTCCTCAAATAAAATAGAGCTTTCTGTTAAAAAAAAAAAAAAAAAGGGGATGAAATATGAAATACCAAGAGAATAAATTGGTTCCAAACCCTTGTTTCTTAGTTAAGTATTTCTTTCTCCCTTTTTCTTATTGTGCTTTGATGTTTGTGTCTCTTAAGTACACTACCCAGAAGGGTATGAGTGTTTGTGTAATTCCTTAGCTGGAAAAATCCTGAAAGTTTCACGAAGAGTTCACAGTAGATCCCTGCAACATCTGGCCAGTCTACTAGCAGAAATCTTCAGTGTCGTCCATGGGTCTGGCTCGCCATCACATCCATAAAACTTAAAAACATAAAACTTCAGTAAGCTGAAGGGTCTCAAGAAAAAAAAAAAAAGTCTACACATAACAACTACAACAAAAAAATAACTTGGATCACCATCTACACATCAAATCATCACAAATGAAATATGTTCAATCACTGCATAGTTTACATTTTTTAACCTACAAGTAGAGATAACGTCTCCATGTAATTATTTAAACTGTTTTAGACATGAATGTTATCAATTCTTCACTCATCATAAATTAGAACATGCTCTACAGAAGGTGTTCTCAATTTTTTATTTTTGGGGGGGGGGGGGGGGGGGGGGGG